TCTGTTTTTAGGAAGGCTACAACTTTAGTGGTCAACATTTTGTTTCAGAAATGCAAACAATTAAATATTTAAATGTCATCTTCATTTGGTTGGTTTTATGTTGTTAAAGTTAACTTCATGAAAATAAATATCACTGTTTGTAAAAGGAAATTATTAAATTAGTTTTTTACTTATTATTTATTTCACATGGGTTTGAATCAGATTTGGTCAGATGGTCATTTTACATCCAGATGGTGCATCTTACCCACTGACTCGACTCGGGTCAACTTACCCCTAACCCAGGGCAGACTGAGCCATGGGAACACTTTTATTATAAGAAGCCATATTTTTAGAACCCTTTGTCATAGATACATTCTGATAATTTAAAATGATAGGAATACTTTCATTAGGATAGGCTAGGATAGATACTTTCATTGTACTTCTGCATCATTTCAACTTATCTTGAGGACCACATAAGTAAAAAATGACCAATCTTACCCCACTCTCCCCTATAAGTATTAGACATTTAATTGAATATTTTACAGTATAAATTTATAGTATATATATGAATAAACAACTCATTTAGAAAATTAGCATATTTTAACCATTTATAGGCCTACTATTAATATGGTTTTAATAAAATATGATGTGTTATAGATTACTAGTGTCAAGACAAGTGATTATAATGGGAAATATACTTAATTACAAAAATGTAAGTGTGACAAACTGCTAAATATTCTATATGATGATTTAGCTGCTGGCTTGCTGGAGCTTTGTATTCATGTTTGCAACGTTGAACTGCCTTAAGCATCCTCCCTTCGCTCTTTCTCTCTCTGTCTCTGTCTTATTTTTTCCGAAGGCATTTATTTATTTATTTTTGTGCGTGCCAACAACAGCTAATTTTGTGTTATTTATATTAGATCTGATCTGGTACAATAATTTGCTGACTCCTGCAGCTCATGTTGGATGCTGACCGCAATTTCACCAAGTACAACATGTTCCTGGATCAACATCCTTGTGTCTATCAATCAGGTCAACATCCAATCAACCAATCATAATTGAGGGACACATTTTCTAGAAAAGTCAGTTTTAGGCTTACAATCAGGGTTAAATGCTTCTACACCCTTGTTATTCACCTATCATTTCCCTCTGATTTTAGGAATAAATTAATGGTAGGGATCAAGTTAGGTCTATGTTTTTGGACAGTAATGTCGATCCAGGATCAACAAAATTTGACTTACTTGGCAAAATCACGGCGACCCTTTTGGAATGTAGGGTTGTCATTTCCACTTTTTTTTTCCTGATGGAAGTGGGCTACTTTTAATCTGTTGCCATGGGTTGATTTTCCCCCATGGGTTAAAGGTTTGAAATATTGCATACAATACATTTGACTTGTATTGAATGCTTGTATTGAAACATTTTTCATTCTACCTATGATAAAACTGTGCTGTTAAGTTTTGTTAAGGAGGGCCACTGGAAGGTTTTTAGCTGTGTTTATGATCAATATGAACAACAGTGACTATAAAATATGTATTTCAGGAATGGAAATGACATATTTTGAGTTTTTATTTTTGAGATATGGTCATTGCACTACTTTGGGCACTGCTTTAACCACCAACCAATCACACCCCAGCTCCCCGCCCCCACTGTCCTCTTTTTGGAAATCTAAAATATGATCACCCTATGTAATGTATATTGTGTCTATATATTTGAAACATTTGAATGGACTGATAAAGGTAGCTGTGAATTATTTCTGTTGAAGCACAATGTCGTTTTGACTAGAATAATGTACCAAATCTAACTCGTATAAATATTACTGTAGTATAGAAAAATACTATACGCACATTTATCTGTGAAGTCGAACTCTGTGACGCCAAACAACTTCCATGTGCAAAGGATCATGGGGGCCTGAAGTCTCCATCAGTTGTACCCTACGAAATCCTTCATTCCGAAGGGCCCTTTGAAGTGGCACACTCCGAAGTGCCCTTCAGAGGGCGATATATCCCGTTTGGAACACACCGTCTGCCTGAAATTCAATGACGTCAAGGCTGTAATGTGGTTACTAAGGCACACGTGATTCAAGTTGACCGTAACACTTTCTCCAATAGTAAGTAATGCAGACCCTTAACCATTTCTCCTGTGTTTTCCTCCTCCTCTACCTTGCTTTCAGAACAAGAACCACCTGAAGACTCCCTGTAATGAGACGTCACTATCACAATGAGTCTCAGATCACTGGGTTTTGCAAGTCTTTCCCTGTTCTTTGTGTCTTTGTGAAAGTGAAGTTCAAATTCCCAAGTATGATTACATCACATTTTGTAGTTGTAACCTATAGCTATATTTAGATTGCTCCTGCTGACTATATCCAGTCACTAACAAATACTTCAGATGACCCAACACCTGTGAAGAGGTGATGCTAACCATTGAGAGGATTTCGGATGATGCCAACTCTGAATAAACATACAAAACTGCACAATTTTTGGTAAAGCTGCTTTGAAACTTTGTGTATAGTAAAAAGTGCTATACAAATAAATGTGAATTAACGTCATTTAATATCGTCAGTAGGGAAACCATGCATTCACACTATCTGTGAGTGATTGATGCATTCCCATGCAGCACAGCAAACCATGGCGGAGACTATACAAGGACAACATGCTTTTGTATTATACATGTATCAATCCATTGCTGTAAATAAGTGCAGAACAAAAGTCAACATAAATGCAATATATGATTAAATGTGTAAAAACAAAGGGGGTGCACAGGAATCAAAAACATTAAACAAGATTCATTTTCACTTAATTTAATCTTAAAATTAACTTATTTTGAATCAATTTAAGACAACACACTAAACATTGTGTCATTAAGATTAATTAGGCCACATTAATACGTGATTACACTTGAATAACACAAGTTTAAGCACACAATACATATATATATATTTCAAAACTATAGCAAACATGGTCTTTAACCAAGGTAACTTTAGCCTAAAACATGTTAATAAGGCAGGTAACAATAGTTGACCACATTGATCCTCAAATATTAGCAGATTTTATCTTGTAAAAACAATATTGATATAACTACATATACTTGTTGATATATTTTATAAATGTTGTAAATAAATGCATTTATTCCCTGTTGAAAAAAAACAGCATATGCTGGTTAGGTATGTTTTGAAGCATGGCTGCTGGTTTAAGCTGGTCATAAGCTGGTCATGTGCTAGTCCTGAGCAGGAGCTAGTTTCTTAGGACCAGTTTAGGACCAGCACATGACCAGCTTAAACCAGCTCAAACCAGCAGCCATGCTTCAAAACATACCTAACCAGCATATGCTGTTTTTTTCAACAGGGTTTTCGGTAACACTTTATTTCGATAGTCCACTTTAGACATTCTATTAACGGTAAGTAACTTTGCAACTACATGTCAACTAGCAGTTAGTAGAGTATTAGTAGACTGTCTGCTTAATATTTTCTAACACTTTCTTTGACAACTTATTCTACTAACCCTAAACCTACCCTAACAGTCTACTCTGAGAGTTAGTAGACATGTAGATGCAAATTAATGAGAATTAGTTGACATGTAGTTACAAAGTTACTTATAGTTAATAGAATGTCTAAAGTGGACTATCGAAATAAAGTGTAACCGGGTTGTCTACTAATGACCAAAAATTGCAGTTCTGTCTCTGTAACTCAGTATATCAAGTGCCTTCCCTGAACTTCCTGGAACTATTTGAAGTCTACCTGAATCACGTGACGATCAAGCGTTTCAAACTTCCACTGGCTCGACTGACCAATCACAAGAGCAGAGACACTTGATCCCCGTCTCCAAAGTCTCAAAAGTCACCTTGAGGAGTGAGCAGGGTTTGAGAGGGCGTAGAGGGGGTCAAGCGCAAGAGCACTTTTTTGCACGCGGATAATGTTCTGTGCGCTCGCAGTGCAGAAATGCTCCATTGTGCGCTACTTTTGAAACTTTTAAAACGCCATACATTTTCTCCTGCTGCAGTATTGCTAGGAGCGGGGACTTGAAAATGCGGAGTGGAGCTGCAGCGGCCGATTACAGGGCACTTTGAATGTCTGTCGCTCCGTTCCGCCAAGTTACATCGATCCAGTCTGGCTTTCGGTCTGTCGGTTATTCACTCATAAAGTGGCATCTGTTTTTCATTGTCAGAGAAGAAATACGAACTAACCTCAAGAAAAGTAAGTTAAGAACTTGTTTATTGAAATGTTGTTCTTCAGAACAACAACAACATTGCAAGTTTAATACGGTGTAGTATAATAGCCTAAGCATTATAATAATCTGACTTGATAATTTGTGTTTTTCTCTTGAAATCGTTTAATAGGTTATTAATGCTGTTCAGTTTTTGTTAAACTGTAAAATTGCACAACTAGGCACCTTTCATGGGAAATCTGAACTATACTGATACCTAAGGTTAAAAATGTTAAAAATCTAAATGCAGCAGGCATGATACATTGTATAAAGCATAAAGGCAAAAACACATAAGGGATTACACCCTTTTATCAATTAACTCTTTACTTCCATTTTCACATGACTATCTATACAATTATTCACAAATTATATCAGTCAAACACACTTGTCAATCATTCAGGTCTCGGCCCACAAATTAATATGTGAAAAAGCTGTAAAAAGTTTGCTGTGAGTCCAAAATACTACATCCTCTTCTTTTTAAGCCGAGTTCGAAAAAGACAGACAGAAAGAAAGAAAGAGAGAAAACATTAATAATGATATATTTAATACAGGCATCAAGAACATTAGTCATGAGGAAAGGCTAATAAGTTGTGTATTTTTCATTATCTAGCGCAGGGGTTCTCAGCTCTGGCCCTCGAGATCCACTTTCCTGCAGAGTTTAGCTCCAACCTAACCTTGACCAAACCCACTGCCAGTACCTTTCTAGTGATCCTGCAGAGCTTGTTCAGGTGTGTTTGATTAGGATTGGAGCTAAACTCTGCAGGAAAGTGGACCTCGAGGGCCAGAGTTGAGAAACATGATCTAGCATGTGTTCTTACTTACTGGAATATTTTCATAAACAGAAAAGTTCAGTTCAGGTTCACAAACATCAGGGCCACGTTGAGCAACCTTTATGAATGAAGAGACAAAATCAAATCAGAACTGTGTTATATACATTTCCGTACACTTAGTCATAAGACATTTGCTATTTTCACAATGAGATTGAAGAGGGTTTAATTTCCTTTGGCTACAGGTGAAGAGAGTTTAGTCTTTTGTAGGAAAACCTCAGCTAAAACACCTACCATTTCATTTGCATACACAGGTTCATTCAATTCAACATTGCAAGCTTTGTGCCGGTCATGATGAGGACTGGAATGATTCACCTTTGCCATTAAAAAAAAGAATAGAGAGAGAATAAACAATGTCTGTAATCATCTCAATAGATAAAGCCACAAATTCAGACTTTCAGTCTTTGAGTTCAATTACCTGATCAGTAAATTACTAATAATTAAATTAATATCCTCACCTGAGCTTTATTTCTCTTTTTCATCCACCTGCATCCCCTTTAAAGACAATGATTTGACAGAATTACAGCCAATCACAACTTATTTGATGTTAGTTTAGACGTGTGATCAGTATCACACACACACACAGACACACACACACACACACACACACACACACACACACACACAGACACAGACACATACACAGACACACACACACACACACACACACACACACACACACGCACACACACACTTACCAAATCAGCAATATCGTTATGATAACTGCAGCTCCACAAACCACTCCAACGGATATGTACAAAATCACCAGACGTCCTACAACAGAGACATGACTGTACTCACACGTGACACTGAGACGAGCAGCAGGAGAGATGTAACTGTGTCCATGTAGAGCACAGCTGTATCTGCCTGCATCCTCTCTTCTGACTGACTGCAGCAGGAGTTGATTGTTTCCGTCTCTTCTCTCAGTTAATGGCTGTGAGTTTCTGTACCAGATGAATGTTGCTCTGTCAGTCAGAGTGCAGCTGCTGTTACATGTCAGACTGACATTATGACCCTCTGTCACTCTCTCAGGAGCCTCCACCTGAAGATCTGAACACAACACACACATTATATCTAGTGCTGCTGTCATACACTGATTATTATTCAACATAATGCACAGAAGAAGAGCTCAGCCTCATGAAAGTCACCTGTGACAGTAAGAGTCACTCCTGGATAACCAGTCCATTTTCCACCAGGTTTATCAGTGATGAATCTGAAACAGTACATGTGTTCATCTTTCTGTGTCACATGACTCAGTCTGATGGTGCAGTTCTGCTGTGTGTCTCCCAGATACTGAAGCCTCTGACTGTATTCAGGATCCTCAGACAGATCTGGAGACTCTTCACCCTGTACAGGGTTTTTGCTCCATAACACTTTCTTGATCTGATGTCCAGTAGGGTATGTATAAGTGCAGCTCATTATCACTGATGAGTCCTTTAGTGCACAGATGTGTGAAGGACTGTAACTCACACCCCAATCATTTTCACTGAAAACATCTGAAATGAGTTTAGTTTTATTATTTAAACGAATACTACAATCAATATCAATATTTGCTAAGTAATACAACAAGATGATTTTGGTATTACATTAATAAGGAAATAACTGGATAGACATAGCAAAGATACACATATGTGGGACTTCATGCTGGTATTGCTCCAATAGTAGGAAAATATATTTTGTATTTTATTAATATAAATAATGGAACTAAATTAACATGTTAAATACTCTTGAGCCATGAACAACATGCACTATTATAGAATGACAGAAATGAAAGCACATACAAGCGTCTCAAACTCACAGTGAATCACGAGGAGAAAGATCAGAGGAAGAGGAGGAGCCATTCTGACTGACATCCCCAGAGCAACACCTACAGCACAGCAATTCCTATAATCCAGTATGCTTGAGATGAAATTGTGAGACGGATATTTTACAAGAAAACATCATTCAGTCTTTCTACCTCAAATTTGCATGTTCTTTGTAATTATTTGTGAAATGTACAGCAGTTTCTCAATGAAAACTGTTTAAAATGAAACCCTTCACCATTTTTTTCAGTCTAGTAGCATTAAAAATGTATTCTTCAGACAAAAAAACAAACCTTGATAAGAAATGGTTCATACCTCAGCGCAGGACACCTCATCAGCTGAAAGCAAATGACACATGAGAAATAAGGAAGGTTTACCAGCCTCATTTATAACCAGAGCTGCATCATTTTCTCCTCAGTTCCTGTGTCTTTTTTATTTTATTTTTACCTCTAGTAACGTACAACTCTAAAAATACACAAGCAAAACAAACACACAAAAAAACATCCTGTTTATTTATACATTTATTTTTGCAGATTTTCCTATCGATCATAAGTACTTTCTTGTAAATGAAAGGCAGGAATAAACACATGCATATTGCATGTAAGCTGGACTTTCATGACACATACTAAACACACGAGTGAAAAAGTACCCAAAGTCTTAAAATACAAACATCTGACACTGACATGTGAGGGTCTACATTCAGGCTGGACTGGGACAAAAAAATCAGCAAAATTTTTGGCCCAAACGGCCCACCACTACGATCAGAATCGGTCTAGTTGGACAACACCCATAAAAATTTAATTTAAAACACACACACACACACACACACACACACACACTTGGACCCCATAACGTTGGGAATAGCAGGTACAAACAAGCTGAACTGGCCTTAAAAAGAAACAAACTGTAGCCATTTGTAATTAGAGGCAACCACTGCATTTTTAATCACAGTCCAAACAAACATGCTGCATACATGTAGCATGAGCAGTTATTTTTTACTTAAATAAGATTGTACATTAACAACATTTAAGGCAAACAGAGTGGTCTGACTTTAGCTTTGTGAAATTATCTTAAAAATGCAAATTCACTCTCTGACAGCAGGTGGTGCTCATGAAACAGCTGCAATATAGTGTTTCCTTGGTTACTGCTGTAAACAAAGCAGTGCTGTGCGTATAAACACTGCTTTAATACTAAGGTGACCATACATCCTCTTTTTCCCAGACATGTCCTCTTTTCGGACCTAAAAAAAATGCGTCCAGCTGGGATATCTTAATCGGCCAAAATGTCCGGGATTCGGCTTTTGCTTTCTACAGTCGCCATTCATTCCCTGCCAGCAAACGTATGTGGGGCCCAAATGGGTGTCACCTGGGCTAACTGGGGCCCAGCCAGTCTTGTCCTCTTTTTCCATGAGGGCCCCACATTCAGCCCAGATGAGAGAATTGCCTTGTCCAGATACCCACACTTGCGGTCTTGGCCACTTGAGAGCGCGTGCGCGCGACAGGAAGCAAGTGCGCAAGACTGTCCCAGGTCTTAAAAACGCCAGAGTGCAGTTCCCTTGACACACACTAAACCCACACTATCGTGAATACCGCTCCGGAGCGGTATTCAAGGCTTAGTCTATCCCATCATGCATCACGTTGTGGAAATAAATCGTGAGACTTTTTGCCGAGATCTTGTGAGAGGTCACGGAAACCTTTCCAATGTATGTGAAATATTAATAATAATTAGATATTACATATAATTTGGTAGTAAAACAAAGAGTTGCATGTTTTATTGGTGCAAATGAGTAGTGGTGATAATTATTTTGTACAACATTTGCAACTGCTTTTTATCACTAGAAGCACCACAAAATGAAATGGTGCCATCTGTTATAGGGACTACTGAACAGACATTTAGAAGTTGATTTTAAAATGCAAAGTATTGACAATAAAAATAAAGCTTTGTAAACACTTGCATTTTTACAACACTATAAGTGTGTCCCATCAGGTAATGAAAAGTTATGCACACACATATAGTCTTCATGCTCACTTGAACACTTGGACCAAATACAGGAAATACGTCATATAAGTAGTCAAGTGGTCAAGTGCAAAAACCACAAAAGTGTGGGTATTTGGACAAGGCAACTGAAATGAACTCTGCTCAGTATGCATACTACAGAGTGCTAAAAAATAAGACTGAAGAAGCACTGCAGTTGATTAGATAATTAAGTGATTAATCGAGTACTGATTGAGCATCAGTGATGAACACATGTGAGACAAGCAGAAACACAACAACTACTGTTGACTTCAGCCACAGCCTGCAAAACAACTGTAAATAAAATACATTAAATATATCAAGATTTCAGCAGAGGAGGATGAAATAACTCCATAAACAGCAGCAGCTTCACTCATTACTAACCAGATTGACTTTATTTCTGTCAGACGACTAGAGAAGCTCTTACTAAGAAATACAGATATAACAACCAATTATATCATTTCACAGACTTTGTGACTGTGAAATTCAAATAGATGAAGAAACTGCAAATTCTCCTTGGATGATTCTGAAGACTTTTGGTGAACTGTGTAGGAAACTTTTTCCTCGTCGAAGCAGAGACCAGGAGACTCTTGGGTATCTTCAGCAGAGTTCTTTATTGAGATCGCGCTGCGTGACGCTGCAGTCATCAAAAGTCTGACTAACATAGTAATACACTGTAGTTTATATACATTTTAAGGGGGCGGGATACATTCAGTAGAGGTGGAGACCTAACCCATAGCATGCAAATGAAGTACAGGCAATCAGCCCGACACCGGCATTTTCCCAGCCTTGATCTCATCAGCATAACAGTGTCATTCAAATGCATAGGTGCTAATCCAATCAGTCTGACAGTCCTAATTTAATCAGTATAACTACTCAAAGACTGGGGCAGAGGCACCAAGAGCCATTACAAACAAAAGGTGGTCATCTCAGTAATCTGGTTCATTTTACTAACAATAGGAGAACAGGAACAGACAGGAACCTCTTGCTACACTTTGCTTAAGATAATAATTTGTATGATGTAATTTACCTTAAATGCTAAATACAATGTACTTCACCTTAGTTTTTCATGTGATGCTATGTCAGAACATAGGATCAGCATATTTTAACAGATTCTTAAATTTGTAATCCCACAACTGCATGGAAACAGTGTTACTTTTGACAGGCATTTTTGATTTAGTCTTAGTCTTTATCTTGAGACGAAAATGCTTAATAGTCTTAGTCACATTTTAGTCACTTGAGTCTTTCATAGTTTTAGTCGATGAAAAGTCATTGCATTTTTGTCAACTTTTAGTCAAACTGCAGTTACCAACATTTATTTTGTTAGCTATTTTATATGTAGTCTTCAAACAAAAATAGTCATTGATTCTTCTCTCTTTACCAAGACCAAATACATTAAGCTTATGAGAAATTTGAATCAAGGATTGAATTTGGAAAAACTTGAATAAATGATGACAATTTTAATTGTTTTATATTATAAATTATATATATACAATTTATAATTTTAGAAAAAGAAGCAGAATACAAATTAAACTCATTTTTCAGATACAGTAGGTTAACATTAATGACACGGATAGGTAACTTAATTAAGAATGCTGTCCCTTTAACCTTTTAGACGCCAGGGATTTTTGGAAAAATGCTGGATTTTGACATCAAGATTTCAAAAGCTTGTGGCTTGAAAGGGCTTAAACATAGAGATCTACTGTAAATTAGAAAAATGTTGGGCATGACCGAAAGTTTATGTGGGGTGTAAATATACTCGTCTAATTAGTATATTATGACATCATTAGGGGCGTCCATCTTGAATTCCATAATATTCAGGAGATAGTAGATATAAAATTGATGTTTGAACTTATTTGCATGTTTTTTTTTTGTCTTTTTATCCTCATTCCAAATGATCAGAAATAAGGAAACCAAAAATAAAACAGGAGAAAGAGCGCTCTGACTGGATCCAAAGAGCAAGTGCTACTTCCAGCCCTATTTCTCCTACCCCTGCTGCCTCTGCCTCTACCTCTAGCAACAGCTCTCCTATCGACACAACGACCACGTCCACCACTGCCACCCCCATCCCCGTTGGGCAAAGGGTCGAACTGATCACTCGTTTGTGCTTCGTGAACACTCTCGCCTTGCATGGCGGCACCATTGTGCTGCAAAGATGTACTGGGAGAAGCACGATTATTAGCCGACCAATCGTCATTTCCAAAAGGCAAATATTTCCCTTCAGAGTCAGAATCGGCGAATAACATTTGCAACACATTCTCACGGTACAACTGTTTATTAGCCATTTGGCAATTTTCTCTCACAAAATCTCACAATTTACTCGCACGCTATGAACTGAACTGCTTCCGCATCAATGACATGATAGCTCACTTGCTCTGCCATTTCCTCGAACACTTTGAATAGGAACGTGACGTAATTTTGGTCTAGAATCGAAGTACTACATGTCTGCCATCCAGTGGTAGGGAATACAAATGCAATATTACACCATATTAGGAATTACAGTCTATTTTATTAAGTATGACGTCTTGTCGCAATTTTGCAACTTTGGAGCTTAGAGGGTTAAGGTAAAAAAAAAACATTATTTTCCATATAATGTACATTATTGTTTCTCCTCTATGCTCCGCCTTTCTGAAACACATTGATTTTTACAAAGCTCATCGTTCTAAAAAGCGAGGTGTGCTCTGATTGGCCAGCTATCCAGTGCGTTGTGATCGGCCGAATGCCTCGAACGTGTGACGGAAATGTTACGCCCCTTAACATACTGTGAGGCCGTCTACCAGCAGGACGAGACAAAACCAATAAAACCCATTACAAATGAGGCATTTGTTGCATCCAGTGGGGACATAATTACTGATTATAATGATGTATATTGTCTTTTTACATATGTAAACATGCGCAAACATAAAACCTCTATAAACCTCATATAAACGTCTGCCTTTGTGATCTTAGAAACAACAAGCCTACTCTACACTGCTCAAAACTCGCATTTGAATCATCAGTGGCAAATTATTTAAATATAAAAAACATACTTACATGCTGTGAGTCAGAA